CAAGCTTAGTAACAAAGAAAGGAGCATTCTGCATAAAACGAAAAAAAAAAAAACAAGATCTTAGCTTCTTCACAATTTACAATCATCCTTGAAGTGAAAGCTTGCCGCCTACACTGACCTCAGCATCCAATTTGATGAATTTGGTACCAAAATGTCTTGGAGCAAGGGACTTTAAATGTTTATCCATAATCCTATAGAAAATGCTCCAAATAAACTATATAAGTATCTCGTGTCAGTTCTTTAGAAGGATAAGAGGCATTTTGAATAAATGTATTTAAGAGAAGAGAAGCAACCGTAAACATTTCTTTAAACACACGAGGGCTCACACATTCTTTTATACCAGACCTCTGATATCCAACTATTCAAACATCAAATTACACTCCACGACTTCAGTTTACACACGAACATTTCAACTGTGGGACAGTAATACGACAACATGTTTTCTTACTTGCAACGGTAGAACTCTCGGTGGTAGAAATGACAAATCACTTTTTCACTGCCCGTAACTTCACTTAAAAAGTCTGCTTCGGTAATCTCCCTGTACTCTCCGTAACCTTTCATTGTCAATTTTTGTCGCTTTTCTGCTTCTTTCTGTATGGAAAATCAGTATAGTATACGAAAATCTCTTGAAGGCAACTCAAAACTCATGTGAAAGCTTAACACAAAACCTTAAGGGATGCAATCCTATCAGCATGCAATTTTTCCAGTTCGGGATCCTGGACCAAAAGATAAAAGACTCATGTAGAAAAACAACTAAAAATCACGAAAATAACCAAAAAAAAAAAAAAAANNNNAAAAAAAATCGTAGGGGGATTTGCAGAGATTGTCCGCTTACATCCATCAATTCATCTAGATCGACTTCCTCGTTAGCCGAGCTTGACGCTTGCGCTTTCTCATTAGCCAGCATTTCCTATAAAAGTCATGGCATTGAGATCCTAAATCTGAGTAAAATTAGTGTTTCCATATGCTAATTTGCTGAGATAAATTCCCTAATTAAGCAAACTTTACCAAATTACCCAAAATTACGAGTTTCATCATCCAGGAAATGAAACGCAGCAAACAATGAGCATAAATTTTCAAAACCCAGATGAAGATAAACTAAATCTTGCAGCAGGTTTCGTTTGATCAATCAGCTGTAACATATGGATGATGAAATTGACCCACGAAAATTATTCTATGGATGATGAAAACACACAAAAAATGCAACCAAACCCACTTTTCATTTCACGCAAGAAGCACAAAAAAATGGGGGAAACAACAATGGCGAAAGAAAGTATATGACCTTTTTATAATCGCGAGCTGCAGCAGCCAACACATTCCCAAAAGCCAGATTAGAAAGAGTCGACTTCACTGAATCAGGATCCATTTTCAATCGTTCTTTCTTGGTCAAAAATTCAAAAATATACTGTACAAATGAGGCATAAAAAGACAAAATTTAACGAAACAGTGTTTGATCGAGCAGACAGAATGAAGAATGAAGAGAGTGTGGAAAGTTACTAGGGAAATTTGTGTTATCAACAAGGAATAATAATGAAAGAGGTTGAAGATGACGTCCTTTCAAGTGGATTAAACGGGCTGGGTTATACGAAGATTGTTCATTACGGCCATTCAATTAAATTCATTCTTGGGCTGTCTCACTCGAAGAGACGTGGCCCAAATCCAGGTTCCGGGTCGGAACCAATGGGTCCGGGCCGGGGTTTGGAGGAATCTGAACCGGCCCGAACATAAACACATGTAGGTTCAGTGAACCGTCGGTTCGCCAGCAGTTCAACAAGGTTCCGGGATTTCGGGTCGGTTCAATCCAATACGTTGAGTATTTATGGTTGAGCTGGTTCATGAGAAATCGTAAATATAAAATTCGCCGTGATGTAGTGATTGAGCTCACGGTATTCAGTCTCTTTTGACCTTTGAATCTAAGCATTTTTGTGAATTAAAATTGTCCTTCTGCAAGTCATTAAAGTTTCCAGCTTGTTGCACCGTCTGTTCCCATTGTCCATAAGAAGAAGACTCGGAAGCATTAGACGAATTTGACTTCGGATTTGTCCCCAATCCAGTTGTGGTTTCCCTAAACAATTCATACAATAAAAGTTTGGAAAAAGCTACTTGTACAATTTTTTTTGTACAACATTCAATGACAACATGATGTGGCATAATATGGGTGGTTGAGATGCAATTAAATGTATGATTAAAATTTTAATTAATGATACTTTTAACTAAGTTGTCAACCAATGTTGTAAACTACAATTGTACATGTAGCATTGCCCTAAAAGTTTTGCTTGCTCGACGAGCTGCCGTGGGTTAGGTCTTACACTGGTAGCCGAGACATCAATGAGAAGTGAGAGTTGATATATAATATCATAATATGTGTGCAGTTGGTTGAGTAAGCCATTTTCACGTAATGACGGATATAACAAAGATGCAACTAAAAATGTATTGAGAATGAGAAAAAATTAATATTTTAAATATTTTCTTTATATATCTCTTACAAGTTCGTCATGTTAATAAAAATATCTTTAAAATTCCATAGTAAGGCTACACATTGACTTACAACAAGTTGAGTAGTAAGATAGTAAACACCAAAAACTACATTGGTAGCACTTTGAATTTTTTCTAAAAATTTCAAAAGTGTTTAAAAAATTAACCAATCAATAATACCAACAGTGACATCACAATTTTTATGTTGACAACTATGAAAACAAAATCCTATAATTGGTGCAGCAATGCATATGTTTTCATTAACATTTTATAAGTCGAGTTCTTACGGGTAGGAACATTTGGTTGGAATTTTTTAGGTGTAACACTTTGTTCTTTACAAAACTTTTTCCATCTTTTCATTTCTTGCGGGCGACGATACAGACTTGAGAATGAGAACAAGACTGGAGGACAAAAGGCAGAGATAATAGTGGCGAAGAGAGGGTCGATGTAATTGAGGCGAAGCTTGTCTTTTAACAGTAGGAAGACTTCCTGCTTCGTAAGTAACAACATTCCTAATGGGCATGACCGACTCTTTTAAAGACTGATAATGGGCATGACCGACTCTTTTAAAGACTGATAACATGCTTGAACACAAAGATTAAGAACATGACACGTATACTGAATATTAAAA